TAAACTTCCCACTTTCCATCTCGTGCCCCTTGAGAAGAAGGAAAAATTTAGAAGGGAAAGTTGGCAGTTTTGATATGGCAAGTAGATGCTAGCCAGTGACCAAAGGAAATAAATCCTTAGTGAGTTAAGGATCTGGAGGAAGGCCAAAATCTACTGAGGCAGGTTACATCTGGACGATAAAAAGTCGAGGATGAGTCTCTTGTTTGGTTAGATTAGTGATAACTATAGATAGAAATTTTTTTAAATAGTTTAATCTCAAATAAACAAAGGCAGGATTGCTGAATTATCAAAAAAAATATCAGATTTTATGAATCAACTTTTTCTGCTAATTCTTTGTACACAAAAATATAAAAACAAAATACACAACCAACTATAGGAAACAAGACTTGCAGCTCTAAAAAAAAGCAAGAAGACTAAAAATAATACTTAGTCTTTTATAAGACTTGAGTAAATAGAGCAGAAGCAGCAAAAGAAATAGTAGAAAAACTCAAAAAATTATTAATAATTTTGCTCTTTGCAAGTTATTTAGAAGATTGGCCTTGACCTTATAATGCAAATCAGTTGCTATTACATAAAATACACAATACGTAATGAAGAATAAACAAAGAAAACATGTTAAAAACACATGATAGACAAAAACAAAGAAGATATACAAATATAACAACAAAATAGTTACGTGAAGCAAGAAATAATAGAAAGTGCTAAAACAAAATCTACAACAACAGAACAAGCAGAGGAACAAATAGAAACAATATATATAAAATTGAGACAATATAGAGCAAAAAAAATTAAATATACAGAACTTGCCTTTAGAAAAAGAAATAATTAGTATATTAAGAAGCAATATAGTTAGAAATTGACCTAATAGAACACATCCTATTAAACAAAGTAATCAGTATTATAAAAAACCTATACGCAGCAGAAAGAGAAAGGCTGTTTACACGTAATAAAGAAGGAATGGCCACCAAGTACACAAGGGCTAGAATAGAGACAGAATAGATGAAAAGACTAGATAAACAGAGAAAGTGCCAACAAAGTTAGTATAATAAAATAACATTAGGATTATTATTATAGCACTTTAGAGAATCAGTAGAATTAATGAAAATAAAACAACATGAAGAGAAAAAGAAAATAAAATTAGAAAAGAAATAAAGAAGATGCAAGTTTGACAGAAACAAAGCTGCTAAAACAAAAACATAAAGAATCTAAAGGAAAAGAAAAAACATTGAAGAAAGAAATACAGAAAGAGATATTGAAGGCCTTACAGAGAAGGAAACTTTAAATAAATTAACTGAAGAATCAAGATCAAGAATTCTGACAATGACTTTAATAAAAAAAGAAAACTCTATAAAGATACAATTCAAAAACCTACAAAGGAAAATATTAAAGTAGATAGTAGAGTTTATATACTAAATAAACTTAAAAAGTAGACAAGATAATATTAAAGATTAAAAAAGGAAGAAAAAAGAAATCTTAAATGAATGGAGTATACAATTTAGATCATTAATGAATACTAGCACAAATGAAGAAAATACTATACAAGATGCTGCAACAGAAAGTACAATAGAAGTTAAGAATTGGAAAAAAAAAAGAAAGACACCAGGTTTAAAATAGTAAGAAGAATTATAAAAAAAGCAGTCAGAAATCAAAAGAAATGCTTTGAACTGCAAAAGAAGTCACACAAATGAAAAGCAAGCTTATGGAATAAAAAGAAAAAGCAGACACGCAGTTCCGAACAGTTAATAATTAAAAGAGAAAAAAAAAAAACTTTATATCTGAAATATTAGAAAGGTTTTTAGAAAGATAAAATGTAAAAAAAAATATACAAGAGCTCGAAAGACACTTATTAAAAGAAATATAAGACTATAAAGTAGAAGAATGAAAGAAAGCACAAAGTTCTGATGAAAAAGTAAAAGAAGACTTAAACAAACTAATCAAGATCTAGAAGTAAAAAAATCTAAAGTAGTATTGAAGGAACTAGAAGAAGAAAAGAGCTATAGACAAATACTTTAGAAGAAAATCTGTATAAGGAATGCTATTAAGAGCAAGAAAAGCAAGACGAATCTTAAAAACTAGAAGAAACACAAAAAGAAGAGAGAAAATAGAAGACTGAAGTGCCAGAGCAGACTATTAGTAGAAAATAAGAAAATGAAATATAAAAGATAAATTGAGATAACTATAAAAGATCACAAGAGAAATTAAGTAGTAGCAAAATTTTTAGAATTTATAAAATAGAGAATACACAATATAATAATCTTACTTTAAAATTAGCAATTCGATGCTTTGCATTATTCACAAGTACTGGTCATGGCCAAAGCACAATTACATTATGGAATATAAATATAATTAGGTAGTATTAACAAGGCGAATAGTCACTAGCCGATAACTAAAGAGAAATAAATCTTTAGCAAGTTAAAGATCCGGAGAGAGGCCAAGGACTACTAAGACAGGTCACACCTAGGTGAAAGCTGGTGTGAGTCTCTAGTTTGGTTAGATTAGTGATAGCTATAAATAGAAATATATAATTCTTGAATAGCTTAATTTCAAATAATCAGAGGCAGAATTGCTGAATTATAAAAAAAATATCAAATTTTATATTTGATAATTATAAAGATAAAAATATTAGTATAAAAATAAAGTTCTTGAAAATTAAAATTTTGAATAAATAAATAAAAACTGATAAGTTAATATTGGGTTTTTTGATGTTTAGATAAGATTTTGCTTGTGGATGTTCTATAGAATAGATGGACAAAATAAGAAATAAGCTTCGCTAATAATTAATAATCATTAATTTTTTAATATCGGAGTTGTAGAGTTGGTGGAGTTTGCCCACCTATTCTATAGAACATCCATGTTTGTAACTGATAACTTTATTTATTTTTAATATTTTCATTATATATATTGCTATATCTCATATTATATATATTAGATATATTTAGCTCAAACTTAAATTCTATTAGTAGCCTATATTCTTATTAAAGCTATTATTTGTATAATTGTATACTCTCTATTATTTGATTATTGATTCATTATCTGCAATCTAAACCTACTGAAGTAATATGTTTATAAATAGTACTTATCTAATATTTTTTCACTTTCATAAGTTTTATTTTGATATATTTTTTTATAACTTTATTTTCTATATTACTCATATTATTTATATCTAAACTTTTAAATTTGGTAATCTTCTTTATAGAAAGATCTTATAGTCTTATTTAGCTATTATACTTCTAATCTTAGTCAATATCAGCTAATTTGCTTAGATAAATTCTACTAGTAGACTTTATATTAACCCAAGTTAAGCCTTTATTATTAACATCTAGTTTAGTTATTATATTTGCTAATTTCTATTATTATTAAGTAAGTACTTCTATATATTGGTGCAAGCTTATTATGTTGCATTACAAGTTACTTTATAACTTTTAGATAATAGATTTTATATTATTTTTTTTTTATAAACTAATAGATTGGGTATCTATCTAGTATATATAGTGTTTTGATACTTTGATATTTTGGTTTACAAAACATTAAAGATATAAACCTAGTTTAGCTTGTAGTTTATAATACTTCTAATTTTAATATTTTGTATTTCTTTTATACTTTTTTTTATTTTTGATATTTAAGCTCTATTTGTATATATTGTAATATGCTTGCATGGCTTAACCAAATAATAAATATTTTAATAATAAAATATATTGTTGCTAGTTAAGCCAAACAAATATATTACTTGACTTAATGTATAAAAGTAATTAAAGAATGTTTTAGATAAGAAAACTAAAGAAAAACCTAAACTAAAACAAAAATACTATGAAATAACTAAATAAGAATCAAAAATAACAAGATTTACTCAAGTATAAATCAAAAATATCAATAATTTTACAATAAAGATACAATAAAAACACTATAAAAATACAAGATAATAACTGTTTATTACTAAGAAAATACAAAATAAAGAGGCTTTTTTACAAGAAAATAATCAAGGTGAAGGGTCAAATATATCCAGACATGATGTAAATATTAAAGAATAAATTGTGGAGTATATATTAATGTCCTTTTACTTTGGAGAAAAGGCAGTATTTATATATCTTTTATAATGCTATAAATAATACTATGTAATAACACTCACTATATAATAATGACATAAAATAATGCTAAGAAATAATATTGTAAATTATTGTATAATAATAAAATCATTGAGCTCTCTATTTAAAATATTTTTATAATAGTAATTATAAATAAACTTTATAAAAAATATTCTAATAATGTCTCACCATTAATATTCAAAAAAAAAAAAAATATTCTAATAAAATTTAACCAACTTTAACCAAGTCTTGGTAAATTGGTTTACTCTCATATACATACTATTTTAGATTTTTTATAAAGAAGTACATATATAAAGTCAATGTTTTTGTAGCATATTACTGTGATATAAAATATATATACAGTATAACTTTAACAAATAAATTTACAAGTTTGCATTGTTATTTCTTGGGCAAAAACAAAAAAAAAACATTTAAAATATAAAAAATTTATTAAAAAAAAAAAAAAAAAATGCATATACAGTATATATATAAATATTATATGAAAGAAAGTACGTACGTAGCGCATTTATGTAAAATGCTATGTATATTGATATATAACAGATAATACATGTCGATACGTATTTTTTGATGACAAATTATATAGAGAAATTTTAGCATTAGCGTTAGTAAAATAAAGATCTATAATAATGAAAACCATTAACAAGCCACATTTAGAATATCTTACTCTCTTAAACGTTAGTAATAAATAAGCAATTATTTATGGATTCTACTAAACTTCATGACCACTATGGCTTCTCCCACAAACAACGACAGATACACCGTAACTTCATTAAGAACTGTAAACCAGCGACAGCTCATTTCAATATTTTACAAAGAGTTACTGCTGGGTTATCAGCACTGCACCAGCAGCTGCTTGTGCAGCAGAATAAAGTCTTGTCACCACACGTCTCTGTGAATATGCCCGTCGACGGAGTACGAAGTAATAATTCCACATATAGTATCAACGCGAATCATCAAGGTTAAATCTTTGTCTTCATTATGCTTTATATTTCTATCAGTGTAAAGCTCGTATTTCCATTAATATAAATGTTCAACAGATTTCGTCCAACCTTTTCAGATTTTAGCGCGCCGATATCGCGTCCTCTACAAAATAGGTGAAGGATCGTTTTGTCAAGCTGTATGTGCTGAAGATTTATATTATCTTGAGAGACGCTTAGTTGCAATTAAAATTATGGCACCAAAATTTAATGCAATTGGAATGCAGGTTCGTGTTAAATATTCATCTCTTCAGGTAATCGATTGATATCTTAATTTTTTTAAATTTTAATTCATTTAGGAGTGCAAGACTCTCCGTTATCTAAACAAACACGATAACAATGACAATACCCATATTGTTAAACTTATTAATACATTCATGGTTGGCAAACATTTTTGTCTGGTAGTTGATTATTATCAAGGAGGCACACCAAAACTTCCTCGCATAGCAAATGAAGAATATCGATTACAGGTGCTCCGAAAGTTGACGTGTCAACTTTTGACAGCTTTGATGTACATAAGACATATGGGGATTTTGCATGCGGATCTTAAATTAGATAATATAATCTGTACAACGGGTATTTACTAAAATTTTCAGAATCAAAGATTTTTATATTTGTCCGTTTAATTTTTCTTTATTATGTAGCTGCTACTTTAGAGTTGAGGGTTGTTGATTTTGGTAACGCAATGAGTTTGGATGAAATTCGTAATTACTTTGAAACATTTGAGGTTCAAACTCTTGCTTACAGAGCGCCGGAGGTAAGTCACCACTTATCATGAAATATAGGTTATTGTTCTAAATTTGACTGTCTTATTATACAAGGTGCTCATGGGACTCCCATTCGGGTTCGAAATTGACATGTGGTCTTTTGGGTGTATTGTTTGTGAATTATGGCTTGGACGTCCCTTATTTTATAGTTCTAGTAAACAAGGAATGATTAGAGAGATCGTGCAGTTACTTGGCCCTTTTCCGGACTCAATATATGCGAATGGCAAATTTTTTGCAAAATACAATATTAAATCCGATTTGATATCAATGAATCTAAATGGAAATGATAAAAACATGTCAGTGTAACGTTTACTATACAATATTATTATTACACACATAATTATCTGACATGCAATCGACCATTTTTGAATTATAAATTAGGTCTGATGTTCTACGAACTAAACGACTTTCCAAAGTTTTAAGGACCAATGACAGCGATTTTATTAGTTTCGTTAATCATATATTCGAATATGATCCGTCTAAGCGACCAACCCCTTTAGAATGCCTATTACATCCATTTCTCGCTCCATTATTTCCCTTTACGCTTTACGTATAGATAGCAACAAATTAGTTAATGTAAAACCGTTTTACACATACTTTGTAAAATATACCGTTTTTTTTTTTTTTTTTAACTTGGTTTGTATTCTTGTCAATTTTTTAAAAATTTTATAACGGTAATTTAAAAGAATTCAGTTTAGAATAATATTCAAATTGTCGACATGAATACGTATGTGATTATCAAAAATATATCCGCTTAAAAATTAAATGCGGAGTTTCGTTAGGGTTAGGATGGGTGCATATGTGAGGTATTAGCGAATTTAATTATAATGATTTTAATCTAACGCAGATTTTAATTTGACGAACATAATAGCATAAATAATATCGATTTATAAATATATAAATATATATATATTATTTATTGTACATTACGGCAAAACATATATGTTGATGCTGATTAAGGTCCCCACATACATAATTTTGAATCTTCTCCGCCGGAAAGAAACATATTTATCTAAAACAATAGAAATAAGCAACATAAAATGAGACGAAGAACA